ACCCGAAGAAGTTATGCAATTAAGGCATCAAAATATACAACAATTTTATTGTGAACGACAATTTGTATTGGCTTTGAATAGCGATCAACAATTGTTTGGTTGGGGTTTATATAAATCTCCAAATGGGAAAGCATATAATAAACCGCACAAAATATTATTAAATAATTCACATGATATACGTATGGAAAAAATATCATGTAATTTATTTAGAACTGTTGGCCTGACATCCAATGGACGGGTATATCAATGGTGTTATCATTCAATGGAAACGGAAAATCCAATTGAAATACAATTTCCTAATGAATACAAAATTGTAGACATTTTATGCTCTGATTTAATGTCATTTGGCATTACATCCAATGGAGAGGTGTTTGTATGGGAAGTGTTTGCCGACAAAACAATTGAACAGCAATTATTGCCAAACGTTAATAATATAATAAATGGGTGTATAATAGATCGATGGGATAATAAACATATCATTTTATTATCACGTGATAAATATGTTTATAAATATGAGTTTGAATATAATAAGAAGATGATTTTAATAAGCAATATATTGTTTGATGAGTGTATTATATCAAAAGATTTTAATGAGCATGTTATTTTAGGAATTAGTGGCGCAAAAGTATATCACTATAATTATCATGATGAAGCTTTTATCGAAACAAAATATACAACATTTGATGATTACTTTGCTTATGAATATCAAGTAACTTATATAACCATTGATATCATTAAGCATGATGATTGTGTTCAAACAATTAATAAAACACAACATTATGGTAAGTTACTGTAGATATGTTACAATATAATATGTAATATATTACGTACTGTTATTGTATTCAATGTATGTATTTAGATAATATTAAATTTATAATTAAACTTGTAACATTTATTCAATAACCTCATTAATTTATAAATAAATTAAGGGATGAATTACTGGGAAATATTTGATGAATTGGTTGAGTTAGGATCCGGTGGTTTTGGACACGTGTTTAAAGTGAGGGATAAATACAATGACAGCAATTATGCGGTTAAAAAATGTCCATTAGACCGTAATGATTTTTAATTTAATTCTGACAAATACATTTAATTATAAATAAATTATTTTATTGAAAAAGATTTGGCAGAAAAACAGAAACAAAATGTTTTAAAGGAAACGCAAAATTTAATAAAATTGCGCTCAGAATATGTCATTCAATACTATTATTCGTGGATTGAATTTAATTGTCTATATATTCAAATGGATTGTTTGGCCGGAAATTTAACACAAGTTTTAAAAATCAAAATCAAAATCCAAACTATAAATATAATTTAATTTTTAGT